CACAATACTCAAGGTGTGGCCTCACCAGTGTAGAGGGGGACAATCACCTCCCTACTCCTGCTGGTCACACTGTTTCTAATACAAACCAGGATGCCACTGGCTTTCTTGGCCACCTGGGCACACTGCTGGCTCATAGTCAGCGGCTTGTAAACTAGAACCTCCAGGTCCCTTTCTGCGAGACAGCTTTCCAGCCACACTTGCCCAAGCCTGTAGCGTTGCTGTGGGGTTGTTGTGGCCCAAGTGCAGGACCTGGCACTTGGCCTTGTTGAAGCTCACACCATTAACATTGGCCCATCAATCCAATCTATCCAAGTCTCTCTGTAGGGCTGCCCTACCCTCGTGCAGATCAACACTCCCACCCAACTTGGTGTCATCAGCAAACTTACTGATGATACACTCTGTGTCCGTATCAAGATCATCATAAAGATGTTAAACAGAAATGATCCCAACACTGAGCCCTGAGGAACACCACTTGTGACCAGCTGCCAGCTGGATTTAACTCCATTGATCACCACTCTTTGGGCCCGTCCGTCCAGCCAGTGCTTTATCCACCAGATTGTACGCTCATTCAAGCCACGAGCAGCCAGTTTTTTCATGAGAGTTTTGTGGGGAACAGTCAAAGGCTTTTCAAAAGTCTAGGCAGACAATAACCACAGCATTTCCTTTGTCCAGTAGTCGTGTCATCTTGTCACAGAAGGAGATCAGGTTCATCAGGCAGGACCTGCCTTTCATAAACTCATGTTGACTGAGCCTGATCACCTGGCTGCCCTCTATAGTGCGTGTAATGGCATTGGAGATGATCTGCCCCATGACCTGCCCTGGTACTGAGGTCAGACTGACAGGTCTATAGTTTCCCGGATCCTCCTTTCTGCCTTTCTAGTAGATAGGTGTTACATCTATGATTTGCTGCCTTCCAGTCCACTGGGACCTCTCCAGTTAGCCAGGACTTCAGGTAAATCATGGAAAGTGGCTTGGCAAGTACATCTGCCAACTCTTTCAGCACCCTTGGGCGTAACCCATCCAGCCCCATAGACTTGTGTGCATCTAAGTGGTGTAGCAGGTCACTGACCACTTCCCCTTTAATTGCCCTCATTCTGCTTCCTCTCCCTGTCTCCTAGCTCATGAGGTTGGGTGTCCAGGGAACAGCTAGTTCCACTGCTAGGAGACAAAGTAGGCATCAAGTAGCTCAGCCTTTTCCTCATCCTTTGTCCCTGTTTCCCTCTGCATCCAATAAAGGATGGAGATTTTCCCTAATCCTACTTTTCTTGTTAATGAATTTACAGAAACATTTTTTATTATCATTAACAGCTGTAGCTGGGTTTAGTTCTAGCTGTGCTT